AGAGAGAGAGAGAGAGAGAGAGAGAGAGAGAGAGAGAGAGAGAGAGAGAGAGAGAGAAAGAAAGAGAGAAAGAGAGAAAGAAAGAAGCCTGTATTGGGTGTTTTAGGATTGCCAAGTGGCATATGTGTCTCAGTTAGGACTACTACTACTATGATGAAACACTATGTCCCAAAGTGACTTGGGGAGGAAAGGGTCTGTCTATTTGGCTTACATATACTGAATCACAGTCCATCAAGAGAAGCCAGTGCAGGAACTCAAACCCAGTAGGAGCCTGGAGAGAGGGGTGCTGCTTACTTACTGGCTTGCTCTCCATGATGTGTTTAGCCTACTTTCTTTTTTTAAAAAAAAAAATTTTTTTTTTTAAATTTTCAAGACAAGGTTTCTCTGTGTTACAGTCCTAGCTGTCCTGGAACTCACTGTGTGGGCCAGGCTGGCTTCGGATTCACAGAGATTCGCCTGCCTCTGTCTCCTGAGTGCTGGGATTACAGGTGTGTGCCACCACCATCCAGCCTTCAGCTTGCTTTCTTATAGAACCCAGGACCACAAGCCCAGGGTTGGTGACACCCAGAGTGGCCTGGGTCCTCCCACATCATCACAAGAAAATGTCCTACAAGCTTGCCTACACCCCAGTCTTTTTTTTTTTAAATTGTAATTTTTTTTATTGGAAAACAAATATACAACTTGGAATGGATTTGAGGCAAATTGTGCCATAAGCAGATTTTCTTTAAGTGGCTAAACAAAGTTTAAAAAGCAAGTAACAATAAAAGAAAATGTTCCTGGTACAATACCAGCAGTACAAAAACAGAGTGTACGAGTCCCTGGATAAAACGCCCCTTTTGCAGTAGTGCAACTTGAATACCCATTGTTGACTGTCCAGTCCACGCTTCCACGGCATGCTGACAGTTCCCAAACGGCTTTAGAAGGCGTAACCCAGATGTTCCCTCACTTGACCAACGCCAGCTAAGTTCAGATGTGCACAAGGGCTTGGATATATCCAGAGTAAGCCACATGCAACATGTTACTTGTTTTCTAAAAGAAGGTTTAAGGACAACGACAGAAGATAAGGGAAGAAAACATGGAGGAATGAAGTCCTAATTACTATACATGCATATTTTCTTGACAGTAGGGGAACCTTTTACAGATAAGTTACAAACAAAGAAAGGCAAATAAACAATTTTGTACAAGAAATTTAACACATTCTGTACAATGTCTTCACTTTGCTGTCATCATTTGTACAAACTCTTCATAGTTTACCTGACCGTCCCCATCGATATCTGCTTCCCTGATCATTTCATCCACCTCCTCATCTGTCAGCTTCTCCCCAAGGTTTGTCATCACATGGCGAAGCTCTGCTGCACTAATATACCCATTACCATCCTTATCAAACACTCGGAATGCTTCTCTAATTTCCTCTTCGCTGTCTGTATCTTTCATTTTTCTTGCCATCATTGTCAGAAATTCAGGGAAGTCAGTTGTGCCATTACCATCTGCATCTACTTCGTTGATCATGTCCTGGAGCTCTGCTTCTGTGGGGTTCTGCCCCAGAGACCTCATCACAGTCCCCAGCTCCTTTGTGGTTATAGTCCCATCGCCATCCTTGTCAAATAGTGAGAAGGCTTCTTTGAATTCTGCAATCTGCTCTTCAGTCAGTTGGTCAGCCATGCTGCAAGGGCTACCGGTTTCCGAGACACGACCACGCAACCACTCGGCTCGCTCGCTGCGCTCAGACTAATTCTACACCCCAGTCTTATGCAGGCATTTTGCCAATTGAGGTTATTTCCTCTGAGATGACATAAAACTAGCCAGCACAATATGTAACTTAGTATCAGTTTGTTTTTTTTTTAAAATAAATGTTTGACACAGTCTTAAGAACAAGAAGTATGGGCCCCTCAGTGCATGTAGGAGATGATTCCAGGACTCCTGTGGGCGCCAAGGTTCTCTCACGCTCAAATCCCTTATGTGCAATGGTGTGTGTTTGTATGCAGTCTGCGCACACTCTAAATTAAAGAACCCAGTGCAGTGTTTTACAACATGAATATATAGCTGTTTCTCAATATTTCTTAGGGAATAATGACAGAAAATAAGTCTGTGTGTGTTTTATACAGAAGTACAGATATATCTTAGGGGTAGTGGTAGTTTTTTGTTTTGTTTGTTTTCAAAGTATGGTGGTTTGAAAGAAAATGGCCTCGAAAAGGAGTGGCACTGTTAGGAGGTGTGGCTTTGTTAGAGTAGGCGTGGCCTCGTTGGAGGAAGTGTGTCACTGTGGAGGCGGGCTTTGAGGTCTCATACATGCTCAAGATACTGCCCAGTGTCTTAGTTCTCTTCCTGTTGCCTGGGTAAAATGTAGGACACTCAGCTGCTTCTCTAGCACCATGTCTGCCTGCACACCACCATGCTCCACCATGATGATAATGGACTGACCTCTGAACTGTAAGGTGCCCAGTCAAATGTTTTCCTTTAGAAGAGTTGCTGTGGTCATGGTGTCTCTTCACAGCAATAAAAACCCTAACTAAGGCAACATGGGGGAGAATCGTTTGGACTGGGTTCTGACCTTAAATTCACTCTCTAGCTGAGGATTGTCTCAACTCTCAGTTCTCCTGCCTCTGCCTCTCAAATACTGGGTTTTCAGGTACTTGTGGCCACACTCAGAATTTCCTTTTCTTTATGCACTTGTTTGAATCTGTAGATGCCGAAGGCCAACTGTATTTCTTCTCACTTTTATTGGGAAAAAAGGTGCTATTTTTTTTTATCAAATCAGAATTATTGATATATCTACAATGCAGCCTTTATACCTAAGGATCAGAACGTTTCAGAAGAAGGAAAGATTGTAAGAATCAGCGGGCCAGAATGACTGCTGCAAGACACTGTCTTGTGTATATGACAGGGAAGCTGTACCCATGAAATCCCAGTGTAATCTCCTAAACATGACCTACATAATGCGAACACCAGCTGACATGCCAGCACAGATACAGGAACTCTCACAAGGCCCCGCCCTGATATGAAGGGCTATAGGCAATTAATTTCTGCTAAGAGAATCAGACTTCTCCAAGGACAAGCCCCCTGAAAGGCTATCTAAATCGTAAGTGGTTAGCCCTAAATATATACACATATAAGAAACACTAAGATGGATTTAATAGGATAAACTCACACATACACATACATACGTGTGTGTGTGTGTGTGTGTGTGTGTGTGTGTGTGTGTGTGTGTGTGTAAATAAAAGATCAGATTGAGAGAGAATGAGGACAAGGGAGGAGTAGAGGGGAGAGGAAGAGTTAGAAATGTAAATACAATACTCATGTATGAAATTCTCAAAAAAAAAAAAAAAAGATTGCTGGCCAGTGAGGTAGGTCAGTGGATAACCGTTTGTCACCTGATGGCCTGGGCTCCATCCCCAAGATACACTTCTCTACCAACTCCTGGAAGTTGTTCTCCAGTTCCCAGCCATGTATGTGCCAAAACAAACAAATGTAATTTTAAGATAAAAAAAAAAAAAAAAACAGGGGTTGGGGATTTAGCTCAGTGGTAGAGCGCTTGCTAGGCCCTGGGTTCGGTCCTCAGCTCAAAAAAAAAAAGATATTCATCTGATCTGCAACACTCATCCTTACTGTTCATTGCTAGGTATATCTATTAGTGTCTTCGGCTGTTTTCTGTTGCTAGAATGAACTGTTTGTGGATAGGTCAGGTTTAGGAAACAGATATATTTAGCTCATGGGTCTAGAAACCAGAAAGCATGGTGCCAGCATGAGTTGGCTTCCCAAGAGGGCCTGTCTGCTGTTTTACATAAAGCACAAGGAAATAGTATGTGTGTGGGCACACGTGTGCAAGAGGGGCTGAGGGAGCGGAGAGGCCACTTTGTAACAGCTAACGAGATGACTGACTCCTGTCATTAGGAACTATATCAATTCCTTTGTGAGGATGGAGCCCCTTCCTCTGGTATCTCTTAAACTCCATCACATTGGGGACCAAACCCCAACATGGGTTTTGGTGGGGACAGACTTCAGATACAGCACTTGGAGAGAGCCAGGGAAAATCTTGACGCCCAGAGCAACACCCACTTGTCAACCCAGCACTTGGGAGGCTGGATGGTGTGGGATTGGATTTATAAACGGATGTTTCAGGCTTTCTTCCTGTACTGTAGTGTCCCAAACCGGCAGGAATAAGGATCCCGAACAATGAGGTGTTGAGTGGGAGCAGCAGGAATGAGAAACAGAAAATGAGAACTAAAGAAGACAAAAGCAATAGCCGGGACCAGGGAGTCTTGCAGAAGCCAATGACTTATGCCAAACAAGCTTTTGCTGTTTTTCTTTTTGTTTTTCAAGACAGGGTTTCTTTGTGTAGCCCTGGCTGTCCTAGAACTTGCCAACCAAGCTGGCCTCGAACTCAGAGACCACATGCCTCTGCCTCCCAAGTGCTGGGATTAAAGGCATGCGCCTCCATACCTGGCCTGAGAAGGTTTATTGAGTACAGCTTCTTATATCATTATATACTGTCTGCAGGAGGGAAAAGGCAAGGTCAGCAGAGAGCTAAGGTAGACAGTGTCGGGAGAGAACGTGGACTACCTCAGACAGCTGCCCAAGGACTGATAACCACAACCCAGGGGAAGAGTGGGGTCTC